TTCTTCTTTTTCTTTTTTTATTCTGGGATTTATTTACCTTCTATAATTGAAACTTTGTTGCCTTTTGCGGAGGCTACAGCCGGCCGGAAGCTTGGTTCCATCACTGGAGCAACCAAGCCTTCTGCTCATTCCAGCTTCGTGGCCATGGCCACCATCTTGGTTGGGTTAATTTGCATATAGTCGCTCTGATTGGCCGGTGGGCGTGGCTTAAGGCATAGCAAAGGTACGGTCAATTTGCATGTTTGTCTCTTATTAGTGTAGATACTTACAAATCCACCATTTATGTTTTTAAGCATTTTTTAAACAATATATAAAATGTTAAAAATTCCCACCCATTACAGGCATTTGCATGTGAGAAGCAAACTGTTAGTAATTAGTGTCTATCACCTCCTGGCCAGGGTGTAGCGAGAACTTTTGGGTAGAGAACTGATTCCCATGTGCCTGTAGATGCCACCACAGAATCCTCTGAGACCTCAGCTCCCTTTGCTTGAGAATAGGTCTGATGGTTGGAGAATCTTCTAGTGAGCCTGAGTGGAGTCAAGTTATTACACACATAATCCTGTCCTCTGGAAGGATTGTCAGAGGGAGACAGCCCTTCTCTGATAGGGTATCTGGACATGCTTCTTGGCTCTGACACTAGACAATTGGCTAGTTGGAGAGAGTAGTACAACCTCTTGAGGCCTCAGTTTTCTCATATGTGAAATGGGTAGGCTAGGCTAGACTTGTTCTTCAGCAATGCCCCCCTCTCTCTTCCTCCCAATGTGTGTTTCCTTGGTTGTCACTGCCTTTGTGATTGGGAGGGTGGGGCAGAGATGCGGAGTGTCCTGCAATGTAGAAACCGTCCCAGGCCAAGCAGAATTGCCCCCCCACACACACACCAGAGTGCCGATCGCATCCCCTTTGAGAAGTACCAAATTAGTTGATCTTCAAAGTCTCTTAATTTCCCATTTCTGAGGTTGTGTTTGTTTGTTTGTCTTGGGAAGATTTATCCAGCTGAGGAGAGTTCTGAGCTTAAAATGGACTTACAAACGAGGGTGTTTGTGCATCACGGTGTTGCTCAGTGAGTGCGTAGGCAGGGTGGTGAGAGGGATGGTGAGGGAGGGAGTGTTCTCAGGAGTTGGTTTCAATGGGTCCACAAGCTCTCCGTAAGGCCAGGTAGTCTGGCTTTGTGGGCCAGGTCACCTGGTACAAGGATTCTGCAGTTGTAGCTCAGAAGTTGCTAAGATAATATGTAAATGTGGGTGTGGCTATGTCCCAATAACACTTTACTGGAAGGGAGTAAACAAAGGGCATTTGCTCCCACCCTTTGTTTAGGTGGGAGGTGGGGTAGAGAGGAAGGGCAGGGGAACTTGGGCAGACAAACGGGCACCAGTGAACCTCTAAGGTCAGATAGAGGGTGCAGATGCCAGTGAGGGCCTATGGGAGCCTGGCAGTCGATGTGAGGGTTGCTGCAGAAGTTGGGTTTTGCATGTTCCAGACCATCCTCCACAGGGCACACATCTGCCCGAGTCACTTCCTGCAGCCCTGCGGCCCCGTTGCATAGTCCTTGCCCTTAGCCTGCCACGCAGGGGGGTGCTGGCCTCCACCCGCAGCGCACAGGGTGCTGCATCCACACAGATGGGTTCCTCTCTCCACTTGCACCTGCACCATGTCTTCTGCCTGGAAAGCTCTCCTGGTCTTTCACCACATGGTGAGCTCCATTCACCCTGCAAGAAGCTGTGAGCACTGCTTCTGTGGAGAGTGTACAACTTCTCCCACCACGGCTCACCCAAGGTTACGTATCATCCATGACTCGTGTATCACATGAACCCCACTCTCTCCTGACTGAGTTCCCTGAGGGCAGTGACTGTCTTAATTGTCACTGTGGTAATTCAGTCAGTAGAGATTGGGGGAAAAACTGAGTGAACAAGATACTTGTTTTATTTTATGTATTTATTTTTTAAACCATTTTATTTAATAATTTTTAGAGAGAGAGAGACGCAGATTTGTTGTTCCACTGCTTGAATCTTGTATGTGCCCTGACCGGAGATCAAACCCACAACCTTGGCTATCGGGGACAAGGCTCTCACCCACTGAGCTACTCGGCCAGGCCAAGCTGCTTGTTTCGGCAACGATGAGGCCTCGGAGGGGTAGGTGGGGGGAACGGGAGGGCTGTGGAAATGAACCTTCCCGCCTCACCACCCCTCCCTGTGTGCGCAGAGCTTGACCCAGATGGAGAGGGAGAAGATCATTTGGGAGTTTGAGCAGTTGTATCACTCCTTGAAGGAGCAGGAGTACCGCCTGTTGACCTGCCTGGAGGAGCTGGACTTGGCCATCTATAACAGCATCAATGGTGCCATCACCCAGTTCTCCTGCAGCATCTCTCAGCTCAGCAGCCTGATTGCACAGCTGGAGGAGAAGCAGCAGCAGCCAACCCAGGAGCTCTTGCAGGTACGCCGGGAAGCGCCAGGGTGCCCGCGGAGCAGTCACAGGGCAGTGGGAAGCGGTGGGCGTACCCTGCATGGCCAGGGCCAGCATGGTGCCTGTCTCATCTGCAGGCCTGCTCCGGGCTCTGGGAGTTGGTGGGGAACAGGCTCTCCTGGGATTTATGTTCTGATGTTGAAATCAGACCATAAAAGAGCGAATGAACATGTATCATAGGTGTTGACAAATGCCATTAAAAGCGCTGGCCCACCACCTGTTTTGTATGTTCTGTGAAGTAAGTAGGGATTTACATCTTAAAGTGGTGGGGAAATCAGAACAGTTATTCCACGTGTGTGAAATTATATAAAATTCAAATTTCATCCATATATTATATCGGAACATACCCATGTGCGTTTATTATCTAGTATCTATTGTTACTTTTCTATAACCGCAGAGTTGAGTAGCTGGGACAGACTGGCCTTTAAACAAACAAAAAATTTTTTATCAACTCCCACTCTAGGATACCAGGAGGGCCTCCCAAGCCCCTGGGCATGTGTTTCCTCGCGGGGAGCAGGTGGCCAGAGGCAGGGTGTCTCGGAAGAAGGGTGTGGGCTGTGGAGTTGAGGGGAGATGGTAGGAGGGCGAAAGCCTGGAGTGTGATGACAGCTGTGGAGCCGCTGCAGGGACAGTTGGGCAGGTGGGAGGGACGGCATGGTGAGGAGATGGCAAGAGGAGGTGACTGTTTCAAGAAGCCAGATGCAAGGAGACCCTGGGAGGTGAGATGGGCCGAGGCTTAAGGAAACTACACGCTTTAAAGACATGTACCTGCAGGCAAGCGGGTGAGGAACAGATGAGGATGAAGAGCAGGAGAAGAGTCCCTGGGCTGTCACGTGAGGGACCAATCACCATCACCGGGTGGTTCCTGGGAAGACGGCAGGGTGGGGAGGGACGCGTGTGTGGGAGTTGGTTTGGGGGAGAAAGGAGGGTCGGGGGGGTAGTGCAGTCTGGTGTGAGGTTTCATAAAACCTGGTGGCCTTCTTTCAAAGGATAAGAGATCCCTCTTTTTTACTGCTGCATAGTATCCCATGGTGTAGATGTACTACAGCTTTTATTGTCCATTCATCTACTGATTGGCACTTGGGCAGTTTCCAGATCTTAGCTATTGTAAATTGTGCTGCTATGAACATATGGATGCTTACATTCTTTCTGATTGGTGTTTCGGGTTATTTAGGCTATATTCCTAGAAGTGGGGTCACTGGGTCAGATGGCAGTTCCATATTTAATTTTTTGAGGAAACTCCATACTGTTTTCCATAATGGCCACACCAGTCTGCATTCTCACCAGCAGTGCACGAAGGTTCTCTTTCTACACATCCTCGCCAACACTTGTCATTTGTTGATTTGTTGATGGTAGCCATTCTGATAGGTGTGAGGTGATACCTCATTTTCGTTTTAATTTGCATTTCTCTGATGATCAGTGACTTTGAGCATCCTATATAACAAAGAGCCAATATGCAAATGGTTGTCACGCCCTCACATCGTCATGCTGGAACGGCTCAGACACTCAACACTGGGGAGAGAGGAATGGGGACCAGCCAGGCACAAATGAGCTCACGAGAGAGGTATGGGGACCAGCCAGGCACAAATGAGTTCATGAGAGAGGAATGGGGACCAGCCAGGCTGCGGTCCGGGAGAGGGACAAGTCGCCCGCCCCGTGGTCCCAGGCGCCTGTGGCTGTGGCCCGGGTGAAGCTGCCCTCCCATGATGCGCTGCAGCTGCAGCCAGCCTGGGTCCTGGGTGCCTGCGACCTGCCAGAGGGAGGAAAGCCCAGGTCTCAGGTGCCTGTGACCGACCGGAGGAGGGATTCCTGGGTCCCGGTTTCGGGGTGAGGCAGAGGCGGTTAGGGGCGATCAGGCCAGCCGGGGAGCAGTTAGGGGCGATCAGGCAGGTAGGGAAGCAGTTAGGGGTGATCAGGCAGGCAGGCAGAGGTGGTTAGGGGTGATCAGGCAGGCAGGCAGAGGGGTTAGGGACAATCAGGTAGACAGGCAGGCAAGCAGTTAGGAGCCAGTGGTCCCGGATTGCGAGAGGCAGTCGGACATCCCCCGAGGGGTCTCGGATTAGAGAGGGTACAGGCTGGGCTGAGGGACTTCCACGCCCCGTGCACGAATTTCACGCACCAGGGCTCTAGTTTTTTCATATGTCTCTTGGCCATCTGTATGTCCACTTTGGAGAAGTGTCTATTTAGGTCCTTTGCCCATTTTTTAATTGGATTGTTTGTCTTTCTTTTGTTATTCTGTATGAGTTTCTTATATATTTTGGATATTAGCCCTTTATTAGATGTGTCATTGCCAAATATGTTGTCCCATACAGTGGGCTTCCTTTTCGTTTTGTTTTTGGTTTCTGCTCTGCAAAAGCTTTTTATTTTGATGTAGTCCCATTTGTTTATTTTCTCCTTAGTTTCCTTTGCCCTAGGAGATATATCCATAAAGATATTGCTATGAGAAATGTCTCAGATTTTGTTGCCTGTGGTTTCTTTTAGATTTTTATGGTTTCGTGACTTACATTTAAGTCTTTTATCCATTTTGAGTTTATTCTTGTGTATGGTGTAAGTTGGTGGTTTAGTTTCATTTTTTTGCATGTATCTGTCCAATTTTCCCAGCATCATTTATTGAAGAGACTGTCCTGACTTCATTGTATGTTCTTGCCTCCTTTGTCAAATATTAATTGAGTTTGGCTTGGGTTGATTTTGGGGGTCTGTGTTCTGTTCAATTAATCTATATGCCTATCCTTGTGCCAATACCAGGCTGTTTTGATTATTGGGCCTTGTAGTATAACTTGATATCTAGTATTGTGATTTCTCTCAAGATTGCCGTGGCTATTGGGGTCCTTTTTGGTTCCACATAAAGTTTTGGAATGTTTGTTCTAGCTCTGTGAAATATGCTGTTGGTATTTTAATATGATTGCGTTGAATCTATAGATTGCTTTGGATAGTATGGACATGTTAATGATGTCAATTCTACCAATCCATGAAGATGGTATTTCTTCCACTTGCTTATATCTTCCTCTATCTCTTTTTTGAACGTCTGTAGTTTTCTGAGTATAAGACATTTAACTCCTTGATTAAGTTTATTCTTAAGTATCTTAATTTTTTTGTTGCAATGGTAAATGGGATTGTTTAATTTCTCTTTCTGAGAATTCATTATTGATGTATAAAAATGCCATAGAGCCCCAGCTGGTTTAGCTCAGAGGCTAGAGTGTCAGCCTGCAGACTGAAGGGTACCAGCTTCGATTCTGGTCAAGGGCACATGTCCAAGTTGTGGGCTTGATCCCAGTAGGGGGCATGCAGGAGGCAGCTGATCAATGATTCTCTTTCATCATTGATGTTTCTATCTTTCTCTCCCTC